TATATAGAATTAGACTTGAGGTATATCCACCAAACGCCAATTGGACACATTTGTTAGGGTGTGTTCATACAGGATGCATGTTGTTGAAAAACAGAATGTAACAAAGCAGGGGTCATGCTTTTTTAAATTTTATTTTAGTTACTTTTTAACTCTGTGTTTTATAATGACGTGTCGATTTAAAATTAATGCACATAGCGTGAGATGCAGAAAAACCATCTGAGATTGAATGCAAGAGATAGTCATACAATCATAGAAACATATTTTTAAATATATAGTTGTGTATATAGCAAATTTAGTTTATTTAATTATAATCAGCATATGTACTTTTTATTTAGTTAGGGGGAAAACGTTACTTGTAGACCTCAGTAATTGACTAATTGACCCATCTCTAGTGTGTTTGTGCTTGTGTGTAGTGTCTAACAGTCAGAACAGAGCGGTGGATGGCCTGTGCTTATTTGTAAGATAAAAACAGGAAGTGCTTCCCACCCAGATATGAACAGTAATGAGCAACAGAGATAGGTGAGACAGAAGAGTTTTGTACAGATCGGTGTTGGAGTTATCTCTCCAACAGAATGCACTTCTCTTTCTGATAGAGCTGACAGGTCTGTTGTAATCTCAGTCCGACTGAGCCGCTGGGTAACAGCCGTGGCTCTTTCCTGAGAAGCCAATCTCGGTGCTCCTCCTGCACAGACAAACCCAAATACTAGCAAACACTCGCTTTATCACTCGGCTCATGCAGGAATCTGTTGGGAAATAACAGCTGATGTTAAGAAATAACTGAAAGTCCCTCTTTTGTCAAGGCTTAGAGTGCTGTTGTTTTTGAGAGTCGGGTAATTTGCATATAGATGGTGTCTTTGTCGAACAGGACTGATCCTCATGCTTTATCGTTCTGAAATATTAAAGGGATGTGACTCTGTCAGGATTATAAAGGTATCAATCATTTTGAGAGTCCTTGAACATTGCTTTGTGTACCTTGTGAGATTATTTTGGCATCGGGATGTTGAGCGTTATCCACTTCTATACTCACATAATCACTGGTAAACTGTTGTTTGACCTGTCTGGGTCATTATCAGTCATTTCAGATTTCCTGCCAGTTTTGTTGCAGTGCATCAGCTCCATAAATGACGGAAGGCCAAATTGAGCTAAGTGGACTTGTCCTCTGTGCAAGCCAAGTACAAAAGACAAGGTCACATTCCTTCTCAAGATTCAACACTGGATCAGCAGTGCAGGGCGTTTGGGAACCAGCGTACAGTATTATAAATCAGGATTGGAACGAACTGGACACTGAATGGAAACTTTCAGAGTCAACCCTGATTTCAGAAACTTTGTATATCGTACTAAGTATCTTTATGTAGTTTTTTTTAATTTTTTATATTAAGATTAACAGTAAAGGGAGAAATGCTCATCTATCATTGTTCCACAGCCTTTTCTGACAGAGGAAAGTTTTGTTGTAGTCTATTTTACTCTGCTGCTTTTTATCCAACTTAGTAATATATTTTCCAGCTTTTTGCAAGGTCTTTTTTACATGATTAAGGACCGCCTCCCGAACAATGTTAGGTAGGTTATTCCAGAGTTTGGGTGCTAAATAGTCAAGTCAAGTTTATTTGTATTGCGCTTTTCACCATACAAATCATTGCAAAGCAACTTTACAGCAAATTAAGTTTCTACAAAATTTAGTGGTAGCTTATCAGTGGTGACTGTCAGTTAATGTACATATGGCAGAAATGTACGGAAAAATCAATTTAAGACGTAATAATTGATTCACATCAAGAACGATAATTCACACCAAGGATGATAACTGTAACTGTAAAGTCTTAATATTTATTCTAATCCTATGCAGATAGGCGTGAAGATTAATCTACACAACAACTATAAAGATACCATATGAATAACCATATTGAACCATACAAATATTAACAGTCAATCAGAATCCACTCAACTTTAAATGGCTCAAGCAGGGCCTAAAACTAACTTTTTGCCACACCTGCCAATGGCCGGTGACATGATAAAATTTACCGGCCAAAAATTTTTTTTACCGGCCATGAAACTATTTTTGCAAAAACAGGCAGTTAGTACTACTACAATAACTAAACATATTTACAATCTTTCAAACTATACTTCACTGCACCCTTTAGGCGGCGTAACCCAGGTATGTGTCGCCGCATTCTCATGTTATGAAGAATAAAGAAGGGAAAAGTTAATCTTCCGAAATTAAGCAGCAAAATCTTCTCAGGTAAAAGTTATTAGAACCGTGTCTCGGGACAAGCTGGCCATCACACTGCTCTCACCTTATCAGTCCGTTTATATCCTATTATTTGATTCGCTCTTGTCACTTATGACAGAACGGCTAATCACGATAATCTTGTCTTCGGACAAGATTATTTTATTCGCTTATGTCAGAAACAGTGAATCTCTTTAAAAACTGGCTGTTGTTTTCACTTCATTGCATTGTTATAATTTGTAAAAGTTGTACCCTGTTACATATACTCACCAATGCCGATTTTTACTCTCATTTGGCGCTTGGCGAGTGTTAATTTTAGGCCCTGAGCTCAAGTATTTAAAGTCACAGATGGTATAAGTTTAGTGCATGTTTATACACTCTAAAAAATAATGTGTTAGCTCAACATAAATAATTTTTTTTTTAGTTATGATGACAACTTCTAACGAAATAGTTTAACCCACAAACTAGTTAGTGTTAGAGTTCGAAGAAGTTCATTCATTTCTAACATAAACACTATTTTTAAGTTAATTACTCAGAAAAATGAAGTTCCTCCAACTAATGGATTTGTGTGCCTGGAACCAATTTATATGATCTTTTTCAGTTCAGATCAACAGCTATCATAGCACAGGCTAGATGTAACTTATTTAGCAGGTGTATTAGGGCTGCACAATTAATCTAATTTCTAATCGCGATTACAATTATGGATGCCACAATTACGTAATCGTTCAAAGCGGCAATTAATCATTCAAAGTCCACTTATGTTATTCTGCATGCTTAAGATGCGTTTTTTCTTTCTACATGTTATCGTAAGGGTTTTTCCCATTTATTTTAATTTTAGTTTTAGTATAAGTAATTTTAGTTTTAGTATACATTATAATACCATTCATATTTTTATTTTTTTGTATAATTTATAATTTAAAATTTGACGTGGCAAAGGGATCTCATTATAATATTACCGCCCCTTAACCTGTAAGTTTCCACCCACGGCGCAGTCATTTTGATTTCACAAGCGACAAAGGTGTAGCAGCTCTAATGCCATGGCGAAAGTTTGAGCAAAACATGCTAACTGTTCTGTCTTTGGCTGCACAGAACACTATTTAGAGTAGTGATGTCCGGTTCGCGAACGAATCGTTCGATTTAATCGGTTCTTCTTAGTGAACCGGTTGAACCAGTTCACCAAATCGGACTGAATAATTTAAAACGGTTCGCGTCTCCAGTAAGCATTAATCCACAAATTACTTAAGTTATTCACTTTTTTAACATGGCTGACACTCCCTCTGAGTCGAAATAAACCAATATCCCGGAGTAATTTATTTACTCAAACAGTACACTGACTGAACTGCTGTGAAGAGAGAACTGAAGATGAACACGAGCAGAGCAGCATGTGTGTGCAGCGAGCCCGGGAAACGAAGTACACGCCCACTGCTGGAGCGGTTCTCGTTCTTGAGTCAAGAACCGGTTGCATCGGTTTTCGGATCACCAGTACACTGAACCGAGAACCGTTTCTTTCGGACACGTCCGATTTGAGAACCGATGAGCTGATGATACTGCACATGCGTGATTCAGCATGAAGCTACCGAACAGATTTTTTACGTAAACTTGTGTGTGAATGAGAACTTAGTTTAGTACTCACATGCTGTGACCGATGCTTTCTGTCCATGTGCTTTGGATGTGTGCAATCAGAAAACTGTATATCAGAAGTTTAAACTAATATGGTTTAAAATGCATGATTTCAGCATGATAAACATGATAATCAGAACCAAAACTGTTTTTAGCAGGTCCAAGCTGTAATGGCGCAGCTCTATTCTGGAAAAGGGGGCGGGGAGCAGCAGCTCATTTGCATTTAAAGAGACAGGAAATAAAACGAGCGTGTTTCTGCTTCCACTGAAAATAGTCATTTTCAAAATGATTAATAAATTATCTGTGGGGTATTTTGAGATGAAACTTCACAGACACATTCTGGGGACACCAGAGACTTATATTACATATTGTAAAAAGGGGCATGATATGTCTCCTTTAAGTTAAATGGTCTAAATGTATTTATATTCTGTGGAAGGCGTAGGACCAAGAAATGTTCGTCCAATCAAAATGCTCGGTCCGTATTAGCATACCTCTGCGCACCCGGTTCGTGCAGACAGAATACGTCATCCGCACGTTCACGCATGCCGTGCAGACAGAGCAAGAATGGCAGACAAACATCAACAACCCGATCTTCCTTCCTGGTATTGTAGTATGTTTAAAGTTTTCTCACCAGTGAATGACACATGATGTAGCCCAGCGGTTCCCAATTCCAGTCCTCGTTAGAAGTGAGCTACGTGCATGAACTGTGTTCTGATCGATATGATCCCTACACAGTGTTCATTGCTCCCCTACTCCCTGAGCAGGGGAAATCCGTTGAAGTTTACTTCACTTCGGAACATGGGCTGGAATTGGGAACCGCTAATGTAGTCTATTGTAGTAATGTTGTTTCTGGTATTCTGGTCTGTGAGCGTAAATGCGTTCAGGGGGCGTGGCTTTAGACGGCGATTGCAGGGAGGGTGGGACGTTCGCTTTCAGTGCTATCAGGCTAAAGTTAGCATTTTCCAAGATCTCCTAGTGCACCTTTAATTTGCTAAATGTGTCCACGTTCACAACAACTGTGACCGTTATGTGCCGTGTTTGAGGTTTTCTCACATGGAGCCTACCTGTTCTCTTTCTCCATTGTTGACACATGCTTGCTTAAGAAGACTAAACATGCAGTCCTCCTTTAGTGGAAACCACCACCTCTCTCAGTGTCCGTTGGAAACAACTGAGAGGGGAAGTCAATATTATGATAGGAGGATGTGTTTGGGTGCCGGGGTTTGGATGTGGTCAGACCTCTGTTGTTGTTTGCTTGCTGTGGGAAATTACACTAGTGACTCTCTGAATGCTGTGGTTTCTTAGGGCCCTATGATTTCTGTGATGTGGCAAATGTAGACGAAATTGAAGAATCCGGTCATTAAAATGGAATTGAATGTAGAATGCTATAGAATTCCACATGAACGTCATCTCCAGAGCTGCAAGATTAACGCCGTTTTTGATAATAAATTTGTATTAAATCATAAATCCAGAAATAAAAATAAAACAACAGTTTTTGAAGAAAACAATTTCATAGGGCCCTACTGTTGAACCAATTTAAATAATTAATTTGGTTTATTAGACATGCTTTTTGATTTTTCAAATGACAATTTAATTGAATTTATTTAAATTGAATTAAATAATTAAAATGTAATCCTGAACAATTAATACAGAAAACATAATGGGCCCTAGTTTCTGCTACATAGGAGAAACAGCGTCTCTGTTTGTGGGTTATGTAATCAGTGATAAACAAAATTCCCCATTTAGTTGGAATCCTGAGAAGGCCTAGTACTTTCCTTGACAGTTGCAATGACCTTGCTTGTCTGAAAGAATGTGGGGAAAAAAAAGAAATAAGCCACAAAATAGTTAACATAATGAAGTGCATGTCAGCACATACAGACTTTGGAAAAAGTGAAAGGCAGAAAAAGAAAAGGAAAAGAGTAAAAGAAAGAGAAGCACATGGTGGGAGAGAAAAGGAGTAGAAAGCAAGAATTTTTTGGATCGCACCTCCCTCACTAGCTCGTTCCTGTCACGGTTTTCCCCCCATTGTGGATTGTTGTTATGGGAACAACCCACAATCCAGTGATGGAAGCGGTAACAACGGCGTGTGTGGTGGTGAATTTATGTGAACTTTAATGATGTAAGACGATCTGTTGCAGACCATGAACATTTTAAGGGATTTTCATGCAGCCTGATATATTTTCCAGCACAAAATCTTAGTTGATTTGGCTGAGGTTGAAGGCCTTAATTCAATAATAAAGATAAATTACTGTGGTGTCTGAGATGTAGTGATCCATAACTACATAAGCTACGTTTTTTAAACTGCTGAATCCTGCTCTCTGACGTAATTTGACTGAGAGCATGAGCCCAAAGCATGCTGAAGCTGAGAATTTGAAGTCTTCTGTAGGGAAATCTCTTGCTTACTGTGAAACTTGAGCAACAGCGCCTGCGCTACAGCTGTGCAGTAATGTACTACAAAATATTCTGTGGCCCTGGAGCATTTCAGGTCAGCACTGTGATTAGCACACAAATGTGAAGTAATGTCTCAAGGCTGAAATTAAAATGAAACAGACAATCAAGATCAGTTACTGCAAGAGCAAATTTCGACTGTCTTTTTTAATACAGACTCTGCTAACCAGACGCTGCGGTCGATTGGACTTTCTGTACATTCTGTCAAATAACAGAGTGGAGTTCTAGGAAAAAACGTAAATATGGACTGGAGCACACTCTTCACTGTGGGAGAATGTTTATTCCCTCCTCTTTAGTTGTTTCTCTTTCCACTTCTCTTTCTGCTACTTCTCGCTGTCTCCTTTAAATGCGATAGTACAGACAGTATTGCAGATGAGGACCGTATTTGTGGAATTGAAATTTGGAAGGTGTTCAGACTGGCTAAGATTTTCTTCTTTAGTCAGGCATTTAAAGGGATAGATCACCCAAAAAGAAAAAAATTCTGACATGAAAGCGAAGAAATTGTTGAATAAAGTTGTTTTCTTTCAGCATAAAAAGTATTCTTGTAGCTCCATAAAATTAAGGTTGAACCACTGATGTCACAAGGACTATTTTAACAGTGTCCTTACTACCTTTCTGGGCATTGAACGTGGTAGTTGCATTGCTGTCTTTGCCGAGTCAGAAAGCTCTCAGATTTCATCAAAAATATCTTAATTTGATTTCCAAAGATGAACGAAGGTCTTATGGGTTTGGAACGACATGAGGGTGAGTAATTAATGACAGAATTTTTATTTTTGGGTGAACTATCCCTTTAAACTGTTCTGCAAGTTCAGATGCTTTGTTGTGTTTGTCCTGACACACAGAGCTGTTTGTTCACAAAGGTCAGATTGATCTCATTAAATGGTCTTATTTGTAGTATTCATGATTGAGACTAATGTTGAATGGTTTTCTCAGGTTGTTTGTACATCTGTTAGTTGTGATTGGCCCTTTTGTGATGCTGTTAAATAAGCAGAGAGTATTTCAATGAAGCATATTGTAATACTTGTGCTCAGTCTTCTTAATCAAGTTTCTTTCATGTGCTAACCAAATGAATAAAATCAGCTTCACACAACCATGAATGTTTCTCACTGTCTCTTTTACCATATTGCCAGGCATTTCCTCTTTATCATGTACTAGAGATTTATATGACGTTACAGTTATAGATTAGAAACTCATTTACACTAGCCTTTACCATAATTTGGATTATATTTATGCAGTTCCCTTAACACTGTCTGATGTTTTGTTGTGCTGTCTGACAGTAATCACATAAAGTGCAGCTGGTCATCCATCATTGCTAAATTACATGATTCAGTATTAGGGAATACAGACCATGTTTTTTAGTCAATCCTGTTTACAGGTCACATTGTACTTTTCTGGTCTCTCTCACACATTTACTTGTTTTCTAGAATCCAGTCATAGTATCAGTCACCCTGCCAGTGAGGAATACGGTGAAGAGGCCGTCCTGTGCGTTAAGAGACCTACACCGGACAGCATGACCTTCAGATGACTGGACTGAACTTGGACTGTGTTTAGGCAGCATGAACTAGAGAACAACCTCCTGCTGAAGCCATGCGTCACACTGCCATCAACCTCATTTAAACCATAGCGCTGATGTCACTGGATATGTTAAATAGGTCAGGTGCACCTCCATGTGCCACTTACTGTTCACAAAAGAAGACTGCATCCATGTGAATTGGTGGTAAATTGGTCTAATGGTGGTAAAAGCTTTAGTCTTCAGGAGTCTTCAGAAAGGGTCAACCAAGTATTTTTGCAAATATATGTATACATATACATATATATTGTAATTATTGTTAACATTCATAACAGGTCTCCATGCTCTGTTTTTCTCTGTTTTCCTCTGTTTTGAAGGGTTTGTTTAAGCACAGTATGCACCGTGTAACCCCAGAAGTGAACCCAGTGTGTTGTAATAATAAAATGCGTATTAATCTGTGAATGCATTTAAAATCTATGGATAATGTAAAGGTTATAATGCCCTTACGTTTTAATGATTGGGTGACTGTAGATATATATAGTGAGATGGTTTAAGTGGGACTAGCCATTACTCCTCTTGGGCTGAGGATTTTCTCGTGGATCTCTGGTAAAGCCCAGGTTAATGGAATTGCTTCAGATCTGGTTTTGGGGATTGAGAAGCCTCTGTTTAGATTAATGTGAGCACCAGGGATGATGGGAAAGCGGGATGCAGCCAGTGCTCTCTAATAACACTGTGAGGGGTGGGGGTCAACACAGGGCATGCCCAATCTGGCTAGACTGTTTCGTCAGTGGTTTCTCTCATAATCCTCTTTCTCTGACTGCCACCGTGACTATGTGACTGCCTGTGTAACAGAAACCATGAATCTCAGACAGCAGGGCAGCTAAAGGACTTTATGAATTGTAAACAAACTAGCATGCATTATGAATGATGAAATCATTTCAAATCAAAGCAGGGTAGACGTTACCCAAATTTAAAAACAGTTCTCTAAATATTTCCACCCTCTTGTTAAAATGTCATGTGTTTCCTCTTTTACAGTGAAGAGGTTGTGTATCAGTTATGCATGCGTACCCTCGGCTGGAGGATTCAAATTAGACTGAATTCCTATGTAAAGTGGTCTCTCACTTCTATCATGGGACATGTTGTACTTTATCGTTTCTGAGTGGTCCTGTCTCAGAGGTCCTGTTTCTTAATGCCAACTTTCTCGCAACTTTTTAGCATTAAATGTAGTATTACATGTTACACATCCTTCAAGGGGCTCCCGGATTCAACTGGCACATGCAGCCTGTGCATATTTGTTTTGTGACATGCATGTTATGCAAAAAGACAAGCTGTTATGTCAACATTTCCTAATTCTGTACAGTTATATCTTGCTGTTAAATCTTGCGTCTTTTGACCCTCACATTTCCAGCCAATTTTTTTTTCTTAACATTTTTTCCCTTTGATTTCCCTCCCCCGTCGCTAACACTCTCTGTTCTTTATCTAAGGGCAGCAGGCCAGGCACACGTGTACCAGCTCTCTGAAGAAGGCCAGTTCAGTGGAAACTAGCAAGCAAACACACTGAAAAGGACACACGCTCCCTCAATGTCAGCAAATATTTGGTCACAACTTCAAAGGGAAGTGACAGTCGTTTGAAACTGGGGATGACGTTGGGCGCTATTAGAGCAGGTGAATGCACAAGTTTGCTGTTTAAAATCAATGTGATTGATTCATGGCCATTTATTCTGAGCTTTTTCACTAATAATGATGGACAGTCTTAGCTTTGTTTCATAAGACCAACATGGCAACGTGTTTTTAGAGGCAGGCTGTGATGTAATGTAACAATGTGTTACTGTCACCTGCAAGATGATGGCTCCGAGAAATGGACTAATGAGGGTCCTGAAGCGAATGTGATGCATTGAATAAAGTGTAGCTATATAAAGATGGATTGTCACTTAAAGGGATACTCCACCCCAAAATGAAAATTTTGGGTAACACTTTATTTCCATAGTCCACTTTAGACATTCTGTTAACAGTAAGTAACTTTGCAACTACATGTCAACTAGCAGTTAGTAGAGTATTAGTAGACTGTCTGCTTAATATCTTCTAACACTTTCTTTGTCAACTTATTCTACTAACCCTAAACCTACTGAGTTAGTAGACATGTAGTTGCAAATTAATGAGAATTAGTTGACATGTAGTTACAAAGTTACTTATAGTTCGTAGAATGTCTAAAGTGGACTATCGAAATAAAGTGTAACCAAATTTTGTCATTAATCACTTACCCCCATGTCGTTCCAAACCCGTAAAAGCTTTGTTCGTCTTCGGAACACAATTTAAGATATTTTGGATGAAAACCGGGAGGCTTGTGACCGTCACATTGACTGCCAAGTAAATTACACTGTCTCTGCATCTTCAGCGGCTCAGATGTCGGGAGTAAATGATGACTGCTTTATTCATTATTACATCCAACAACAAATCGCCTCAATCACTTAGGAGACATTCTTGTCTTCCCCTGCACCGGAATCAACACAATGGCAGACAGCTCACAGCTCACACAGGGCGGGTCTAAGGTAAGACAGTCTTGTCCATCAACTATCGTGGGAGCAGCCTGTGCAGAACTATGTCATTCTGACAAGAATCTCAGAACAGCCTGAATTGAGAAAGGGGATTTTAAAATAGGGATTTTTAAAAAAAAAACACTGGGTGGATTTTTTATCATTATAGGGTGGATGTGTACACGCACTTCCAACACACATTTATGTTCAAACAACATGTAAAAGTGAATTTTGCATCCGATGACCCCTTTAAGCCATCGCAGGAATTATATTTTGTTCTTGAGAGACTTATTTTACACAATTTTACTGACCACAAACCTTTGAGCATTATTGTATATACAGTAGTACAATAGAAAAACGAACAAATGTGAAATGTGATCGCCATTGCATTGCAGGAATATGCACAAAACTTGATTTCTCTGCACAAAACCCACGCATCATATTACTGTCTGAAGCAATACGTTGCAAAATGTTTGCAATCCATAGTCAAGTTTTTGCTGATAAGGGTTCATCACAGGGTTAGCAGGGTGCCCGGCAGAGTCATTACTTTGTCTTTTTTTTCTAGCAGCCTTGATCCCTCTGGATTGCTTGACATTGCATCATTTATTTGTATCTGTTCCCGTGTGTTTAGTGTAGCGAAAGTGCGTCAGAGTGAAGGAGAGCAAGGAAATCCCCTTCTGCCATGTGGGATAGGAACAAAGACTCCAGTTTGCCTCAAACTTTCTCTCTTTTGCCTTGCTGCGCGAGAGGTCCCGCCACGCTCGACTGCTGGAATTTACACTCCTCAGTCCTCTCTCACCACACACCTTCCCGTGGAGATTGGCTCACTTTGTTTCCTCTAAGATGAATGTATTTTTGAACCTCTTTGAACTGCAGTTATATTATAGGTTCCAGCTCTGTGGTGATTCATCGAATGGGAACTACAGAGGAATTTGCTGCATCACAGAGCAAATCTGTTCAGATTCCTCAGAAACATTTCTTTGACGTGACCAACAAGAGTATATGAATGATGTCTCTTAAGAAAGATCTGTTTACTGGTTCTCAATTACTTTGTCTTTCTGTCCATCCATCACCTTAAGTCTCACTTTCACAGTCTCTCCACCACTGTCTTTTCATATAGTGGTTTGTATGAATAATATATGCCACATTGCTTCGCCGTCATTAAAGGTGACCTGGGTTAATTATTGATTGGGTCAGATGATTACAGGCCCGATCTCTGTATGTTCTTGTCTGCCTGTCATCTCCGTTTTCATGTTTACGCTCTTCCTCTTATTCCTGAATACCCTCATATGATGAATTACTATCTATTGTTATTGCTGGGGGAGTGTTGGCACCTTTACAGAGACATGAAATGTAAAATTACAAATGTAACCATGAATGTCAAGACTATTACTTTGTTTTAATAAAATATGTAAGAGGTAATGTATAGTCAGTTGGTCATTATCACTAAATAAACCCTGACAGGGTGATCAGGTTGAGGCCCTGAAGGGGTTTATTTTGTTACAGTGACCGGCTGACTCTAAAATGTCCTGCCTATTGCCTTGCTACTTGTCTACATTAATGAGGAAAAAAAAATTACTTAAATGATTTTAGCAAATGGCTGCAATATAACAGAGTGAAAAATTTAAGGGGGTCTGAATACTTTCCGTACCCACTGTAAATGGACTTGAGATATTGTTTTGAGTTTTTATTGTTTTTATGTGAGACCATGTGATTGAAGAAGTATAATAAGGAAATGATAATACAGTTTAGCAGCTGTTATGTAAACACATTTAACCACTGAATATTGTGATTGACCAACCAGAATCAACCAGAGAACTGTGAAATAGGATTAGTTCGTTTTTATATTTATGTAATATAAAATATTATATTTGTAACATTTTTATATTAAATATTATACACTACAGTTAAAAAATGTGGGGTCTGTTCAAAAAGTTTTTTTTTAATTATTCAAAAGAGATAGTGGAGTCACTTCAAACAGTCTCTTTGAAATAAATGCTGTTCATTTGAACTTTATTAAATAATGTTGAAAAACGCAACAAATGTCCACAAAAAAAGACTGTTTTCAACATTATTACTAAAAGATTTCTGAAGGATCATGTGACGCTTAATATTGGAGTAATGCCTGCAGAAAATTCATCATTTCTATCACAAAGGAATAATTTTGAGGTTATAATGTGAGAAGAAATAGACCACAGATTGATTGAAAAGACGTAACACTAGTGCAGCTATAGGAAATCATAATACAGTATTCAAACATATTTGAGCACTGAATATTATGATTGTCCGATTAGAATCAAGCAGAAAATAGGATTAGTTGATGGGTATATCAGAACGGACGCCATATCAGACATGCAGACTGATGACCGGCTGAATGTCGATACAATGAATGAAAAGGATGGGAGGAACGTCACCTTGACCTTTCGGAGGCATTCCTTCATCGCTATAGCCCTTTAGCCTGAATGCTTTAATAAACCCTCATGAAATGAACCCCTAATACGTGCCAGTGTGCTGACTCGACAGCCATCGCTCGGGTCAATCTGAGTTTGATTATTCTGGCCCTGGATGACCCAAGCTGAGGTTGAGTCAGGTCAGGAATGAAGCACCTGTCACTTGTATATAACTTGCAAGAGAATGATGAATGTGGCTGTAATGGCTAAACCGCTACAGAATTAGATCCAGTGATGAACGTGTAATGACCTCATGATTTACAGTAGTTGTTTGCTTAGTGTTGTGTTACATTAGCGTGCTGGTTTGGCCTGTAAAGTTCACACAGTAGTCACGCCGTTGCCCCTCAACCCCTGTTAAAGCACTTGTCACTGAAGTTATAGCAGCAGAGGGATGCTTTTACATCTCTCTCGGTCCACAGACCTGTAGTGGAGTGGAGTGGAGGCAGTGAGAATGTGCTGATAGTCTGAGGCACACTGACTCTCTGGGGTGACCAGACGGCTCCTGCTGACTCAGTGCCAATCGCTCAGTGATGTCTGGCTGCATTCACAGAAACTGAATAAAAGCTCTTCTGATTGAGGCTTGGATAAACAGTCTTCAAAGAGCAAAGAAGATACATGTTTCTTTTCTTAATGTAATTTTCTAAAATAAACAAAATTTATAATATTATATTTCTACTTTTAAGTGAAATTGTATTTAATTCTTTATCATTTTTATGATGGAATTCTGGAATATATTTTGTGCATATATATAATTCGGCCTTATATTAATATTTTAATATATATTTTATATATACACACACACACATACATATAGCTGACCATGGACCACAAAAGCCATCATAAGGGTCCATTTCGAGAAATTGAGATTTATACATAATATGAAAGCTGAATAAATAAGCTTTCCATTGATGTATGGTTTGTTAGGATGGGACAATATTTGGCTGAGATACAACTATTTGAATATCTGGAATCTGAGCGTGCAAAAAAAATCTAAATACTGAGAAAATTGCCTTTAAAGTTGTCCAAATGAAGTTCTTGGCAATGCATATTACTAATCATAAATTAAGTTTGAATATATTTACGCAAGGAAATTTACAAAATATGTTCATGGAACATGATCTTTACTTAATATCCTAATGATTTTTGGCATAAAAGAAAAATCTATAATTTTGACCCATACAATGTTTGTTTGGCTATTGCTAAAAATACAGGTGCATCTCAATAAATTAGAATGTCGTGGAAAAGTTCGTTTATTTCAGTAATTCAACTCAAATTGTGAAACTCGTGTATTAAATAAATTCAATGCACACAGATTGAAGTAGTTTAAGTCTTTGGTTCTTTTAATTGTGATGATCTTGGCTCACATTTAACAAAAACCCACCAATTCACTATCTCAACAAATTAGAATAGGGTGACATGCCAATCAGCTAATCAACTCAAAACACCTGCAAACGTTTCCTGAGCCTTCAAAATGGTCTC